TCATTTTCTTAGTCCTAGGTTTTTTTTTTGAAGATCAATTTCCATGTTTATCAAAAATATAAAATAAAATAATCCCCAAACACGCTGCTCACCGGTCGGCACTAAATGGGACATGTTAAAGGTACTTGAGGGTTTAGACTCTTCTATTTGGGTGTTTGCTTCTTCGATCGCGGACTTCTCTTTAGACAACAGGGAGAGAGAAAGAAAATATAAAAAAAGGTTTCTTTTTGTTTTTTGGTTTTTTTTAATGTCAGACAAATCAAAAAGTTAGTACCAAAATCCATGACCAAGCAGAGGAGGAAAAAAATGAAAAAGGTAAATGAGCATCGGTTCCTAGGCAAATTTGGGGTCCAGTAAACGCCACATAGAGTCATAGACGGCCTCTCTTTTTCACTCAGCTAAAAGATTACAGTATCCTATGCTTCTATTCTATTCTTTTTTATCTTCTGCAAGCATAATCTTTGTGATTAATTGTGATTCTCAAGTCTCAACCACATTTGTTGTCCTAAGCCAGAGAGAGAGAGTTCTACAGTACTGAATATCAGATTGGAAATAGAATAGATGGCCTGAGAGGGAATGTCATCAGAGTAAAAAAAATGAACCATTTGAGTTCACGCTTCCAAATCAACGCAAAATGAATAGTAGGTTCATTTGTTTCCTTCTAGAGGCATTAAAAGGACATTTGGTTTGATGAATAAGAAGAGTTCTTTTGACGTCAAACTAGAAGAACCCCATTGTATTTGGTGATTAGATTATTAAAAAAAAAAAAAGCCTTTATCAGCTACTGAAAAATAATGCCTTTTTTTTTTTTTTTGTCTAATAAGGTACTCCATCCTTCTCACATTTTAGATTCACAATCGGAACAATTTAAAAGCCAACTAGATTTAATCTCATTTATTTTGTGCACTGGTGGATAATTTATTGCCATAGTTTTGAAATCTTACCATCTGGCACTGACCACACCATTTATATCAGCTCCTCAAAGGGTCGCATCTCCCCTCTCTCTCTCTCTCTCTCTCTCTCTCTCTGCATTTGACTTGCAGTCTCCTTATTTTTGTAAAAAAACAAAAAAACAAAAAACAAAATTGAGGTAAAAACTCTGCTTGTCTTTGTCTCAGAATTCAACCGGACTGTCTACTGAGATGATATATCCCACACTCTCACATGACGCAAACCTTAAAATAACTTCTGGGGATACTTCATTGGGGCTTGGATTTAATGTTTTGTAGTAGCAGATGAGATACAAGTCTAAAGCTGCAATCTTGTTGAGTTTCTCTCGGTCTTTTTGTTAAGAAAATATGAACTGGGTTCTTCTTCAAATCAAAGAAAGCACCTTTACTTCTCCAACCCAGCAACCATATTTTCTTTCTCAGCCTCCTCCACAACCAAATCTTGATACTGATGGTTTCAACTTGAACACCAAGGTTAGTCCTAGTATATTGCTTATCATTATTATTCTAGCTATTATTTTCTTTGTTTCTGGTTTGCTTCACCTCCTAGTTAGATTTCTCTTAAGACCACCTAATAGAGGCCCTGATGACCTGGAGAGTGTCACTGCTCTTCAAGGCCAGTTGCAGCAACTTTTTCACCTTCACGATGCTGGTGTTGATCAGACATTTATAGATGCTCTCCCCGTGTTCCACTACAAAGCCATTATAGGACTGACGAACCCTTTTGACTGTGCTGTCTGTCTGTGTGAATTTGAGCCTGAAGATAAGCTTAGGTTGTTGCCAAAATGTAGTCATGCCTTTCACATGGAGTGCATAGACACATGGCTCTTGTCTCACTCCACTTGCCCTCTTTGTAGAGCTAGCCTGCTCTCTGATTTCTCTCCAAACAATAGCTGCTCTCCCATGGTTCTTGTTCTTGAATCTGGAAGCGAGAGCTTAAGAGAGATTAGTAATGATAGAGAGGATAATGTTGGCAGAACCAGTTCAGTTTTGACTACAAATTCCCATCTGGTTTGTCATGGAGACAATGAATTGGGATCATCGCGTTTGGATATTTCGCATAAGTCCAGTGAAATTTTGATAAAAGACGATTCTGTCCCAACAACAGTAGTGGATTCAAGTGAGAAGGTTGTCCCTGTTAAGCTTGGAAAGTTTAGGAATGTGGATGCTGGTGAAGGGAGCAGCACTAATAATGTTGATTCACGAAGGTGCTATTCTATGGGGTCTTTTGAGTATGTATTGGATGAGAATTCTTCTTTGCAAGTACCTATAAGGACTCCAATGAAGAAACAGTCAAGCAAGAAGCCGACTTTGCCTTTAACGCCTGGTCATAAGCCAGCAATGTCTGAATGTGATTGTGAATCAAGAAGAGAATTTGATGGCTTTGAAGGTCTTAAAAGTGTCGAAGTTAATGGGAGTGCTAGTATTGTTGCTAGCGGTGGCAATGCCATTGGTAGAAGCAAAAGAGAGAGCTTTTCTATATCAAAGATATGGCTTAGAGGGAAAAAGGAGAAGCAGAATTCAACTGAGGGTTCTTCAAGAAGGGCCTTTTCCCATCGATTTCCAGTGAATAAAAATGTTGTTGCTGAGGATGATTTGAAGATGAAGAAGGGGGATGGTGATGTGTGGAGGACTAATTCTGAAATAAGCTTTGGCAGGTGGGGAAATGGAGGCGGTCAACTGGTTCGTGATGAGCAGAATCAGAGTTGTAATAGCTTGGAATTACAAGCAAAAACACCTTCATTTGCCAGGAGGACTCTTCTTTGGCTTGTGGGGAGACAAAACAAGGTTGTTCACTCGTCCTTTACACCTAATGTCTAGCCTTCTTTTGTCAACTTTTCTTGGATACTTTTTCTGGGGAAGTTTTCTTTTTCTTCTTTGTGTAAGGCAGAATTGAAATATCTGTAGCTGGAAAAAGAAAAAAGCTATTATGAAACTGTTCCAAAAACACAAAATTGTTGCAATTACACTGCATTATGCTATTTTTTTCTTTTTAAAATTACAGCATTGTAGGTGAGCATAGATCGTTCTTTTATGATCGTCATCTTTTTGTCTTTTCAACGTCAGCAATCTCTGCCTATTCATGGTTTCACATGCTTAAAATGTAGACTCATTTTAAAGTTATTGGCTTATTGGTTTATTATTCAACGTTCAGGATAATAATCTGCACAACCAATTGATGAAATCCCAGATGCATGAAGTTTCTGCATCATGGTAGCTTTTCTTTCAATGGTAGTGTTAGGTAAAAGTTAGCCAGGGGTCATTAGTGTGTATTAATGAGGGCACAATAATTGAGCTTACTGAAAGAGTTGATCTTTTGCATCAGGTCTAGATCATTTGATTGACGATTCTTGATTAGAGATGCTGGAAGTGATTGAACAGCTCTAAATTCGCCAAAATCCACGCACTGAACGGGGGTGTTGATCATTATGTGCCATTGAATTAATCAAATGGTGTAGGATAATTTGGTGGGTCAATTTTTGCTTAGAGAAGATTCAAATGGTCACATCAATTCTTAGCCACAAATTTTCATCAAATAATTTGGATTTCCGTCTGCTGCAGAATCCATTTCTTAGTGTCTCAAATCATCATCTGGATGCAGCAAGTTATTTTTCTGTCAAAAAGACAGTGTATTAGGCTATCAAAGGCTAATCATAAAGTTCTACTCATGCTTATGATGATGAGATGATAAGGATTACGGATTACCCTTAGCTTAATGCAAAATCCAAAGGTCTCCCAGTGTTAAAAAGAAATAAATAGTATAATTAGTAAACACACTTTTGAATAGTTATATCTACCCTATGACAATAAATGTAATGTAAGAAATCCAAATTTGATTCGAAATGCACAGCTGTTGGTGCATTAAATGAGGAAAAATTTCATATTGGTTAAACAATTGGAAGGAGTATTGGGGCAATAAACATTAATGGCTGATGTTATTAATAATGTCACGAGAACGGTTGGGGACCGTTTTCTAGTGTTCTTGTCACCACTTAATGTGATTGTCCCTACATATTTATGTTTTTGAGTCCATTGACCCCTTGATGACCCTTCATGGATTACCCTTTTTTTTCCCTTTAAATCCTGTTTTGCAGCCTCATGTTTAGGCTAAAACTAGCAACTTGTCCTGATACCACAAGGACCTGGATTCTCGATCAGACAAATTGACAAAGTAAAATGTTTCTTAGATTTACGGAATTCGTTTATATATATATATATATAAAAACAAAACTGTAGCAGATAACGATCAATATGTGGCAATAATGGTTAGAATGAGTTGGCTTCACCTGGCCTTAGTTTTTGGAGTTACAGCCATATATGCATGCCAATAAAGTGGCCTAGCTGCTTCATTGCTAGCCCGTGAAATTCTGATTCGTTACTGCAAAGCATTAGGAATGTCAACCTGACCTGATATGACTTTATTCGGGAGCAAAAACTCTTGTTAACGAGTGGTCAAAAACACCTGTTAACAGGATCGTCATCCCCATCCTCGTGCGGTCCCCTAAAAAAAAAAACCATCCTCGTCTCGTATTTCGTTCGAGGTGAAATTTCGCTATCCATCTCCGTCCCAACAGAGACGGGGTGATGCCTCGTCAAATTATCTTTTTTAAAAGTAAAAAGACGAGATGCCGCGAAAATTGCCATCCCCATCTCCATTCCGCCCAAAAAAAAAAAAAAAAACCCATCCCTGCCCTGTGCTCCATTCGGGGCAAAATTTCAAGCCCCATCCCCACCTTTAATGGGACGGGGCGGCTTCGGAATGGGTTGGATTGCCATCCCTACCTGTTAAGGAATATATTTTGTAGTAGTTAAGGCTCAAGCATTTGATTAAACTGTATCAAGAACTCTTAATTTAAACATACAATGTATAAAATTGTTTGAAATCAGGGTAATACACGATGCGGATTAATTTTGGAACAAGTTCAAGAGATGTTTACAACCGAACTAATTACTTTCAATGCAGAACAGAATTGGTAAAACAAATTTGGTACAATGTCATGTATTCAAAAAATCAGTGCAGAGTCTTATTAATGCATGTACAAGTTGGTATCAGTTTAGAGCCTTTTTTTGTTCTTGTTGTTGCACAACGAACAAGGAACATGTACCCTTGGTCTCCTTTGCTAAAATAAGGTCACCCAATACCCCCAGCTCTGGGTACTCACACCATTCTTTTAGACCAGCTGTTTGAGGTATTTCATCTTCCATGTTGTTTCTTCTTCCAACTATTATTAGCTCATGTTCATCCACCATGGATCTTACAATTGAAGCCGTTGCAGCTGCATCGTCTGCTATCACCTCTCTATATGTTATGTATTCTCTTTCCTTAACACCCCTCAGAATCATATAATCATGAGTTGATTCCAAGTCTTGACAGTCAATGTTGACACCTTCATTACCAGCACCACCACTGCTCTTTTGGGCTATCAGGTGCACCACAGACAACCTCACCCTGGTGTCTTCTGCCATTCGTAGAGCAAAAGTTAATGCTTCCCTGTCGTCATTGCCTCCCAAGAAGATCATACCAACATCATATGTTAACAATAATTCATCGTCTGTGTAGACAGGCTTCCTTGGAATATTACTGCATCGATCGACAAGGATCGCTACAGAGCAAGGTGCACTCTCAAGGACCCTGCGATTCAATTCCCTTAGGCCATGATCCTCCGATTCAATGATCCCTTCTTGTTTCCACCATCTGATGTGAAATGGGATTATTATAAGAGATGCAAGCTTGTCCACTGCTACTGAGCAAATATCATCATACATCAACATTGGCGGAGAGACTGCCGTGACAGCATTTACCGAAACAGATCCCCGACTGTTTTGCTCGAATGCATTAAACAAATTGATGACATTGACGGAGTATACGTATTCGCATAGTATTAGCCTTTCTTTTCTGTGGGAAATGAAGATTGGGGTGGATTGTGCAACAAGCTTCATGTGGTGAAGGACGGTAACTGCTATGGGGCTATCTCCACCACATGAGGCATCAAGAAGTCTGATTACTGCCGTCACATCCCCTGGTGCATGGATGCAAGAAATGATTTGCAGCTCTGAATTGGGATTTGAATGCATAAGGTTCCTCTTATGGTGTCCTGCATAACTCTTTGTCGGATTGTATAGACTTCTAACTAAAATTGGTACAAGCCCACTGAAGGCAACGACCGTGAAAAGCATGAATACAAATGATTCATCCTCTACAACCTGCACTTTTTATTAAGATAAAATGGAAAATGGAAAATCAATAGCAGCTTGCTAAAAGATGAAGGAAAAAGGAAGATTGTTATAGTCTTTGAGTGAAGAAAATCGATTAGTCCGTGGTTAATTACCTGCTGATCATTCAGGAAAGTGTAGAAGGCCAACTCAACCACTCCTCTGGAACACATTACGAGAGCAAAAGCAGCAGCAGTACTTTTTGGCAATTTCCAGAAGTACGAGTGTGATCCAAAACATATCAAGAATTTGGATAAGCTAATTAAAACAAGCGAAACAGCAGTGGGCATTGACAATTTTTTATGGAAATCAGTGTTCCAGAGGTCCAACCTCATGCCACAGGTCGTGACAAAGAGTGGAAGGAACAATCCTGGAACCACTTCGAACTTCTCCACTAAAGCAGACCCCAGTGGAGGCCCAGCGGGAACAGCGAGACCAATAATGTAAGGAGCATAGATAGCGGACTGCCCATAATAGTGTGAAAGGAACACAGACCCCAGGAACAGCGTCATAATAAGATAAATGTGTGTATCCTTCATAGGCATGCCATTGCGGAGCTTTTTCACCAGAGAATTCAGTGCTGGCTTAACAATACCGGCAACAAAAACAATGAAGCCTAAAAATACAAAATAGTTTTCCTTCGAGTATTCATCTTTGTCTACTTCTCTTACTTTCATCACGGACAAAATAATGATCAGTAAAAGGCTGAAAACATCACTGACTTGTGCGGTCAATAGTCCCAATCGGCCAAGTTCGGAGTTTAGAAGTTTCAGGTCAGTGAGAAGCGTAACTATGACAGGAAATGAAGTGATAGAATATGTTGTTGCAGCAGCAAAACTGAAAAAAGCTGAGCCTTTTACGTCGTAGATTTTATTACAGATTTCGAAGGCTCCAAAACTGAGCAGAAGTGGCAGGAACACAGACAGAATGCCAATGGACCAGACTTTTCCTCCCACACTTTTTAGCACACCTACATCGGATTTTACTCCACTTAGAAACATGAAGAACTGAAAGCCAATAACAGCTATCATACCAACAGGTTCTATGCTTTCCTTGGTAAATAGATTCTTTGAAATTTTTTCTGTAAATAGTACAGGACTGAAAATTATGCCTGCCTGCATAAAAACAACGAGGGATGCAAATCAATTAATTGCCGGTTCATAAAATTTGCTCTTACAAGGAATGTGTCAACTATGATCTGCAAGCAAAATTTCAGAAAGCAGGGATGTGCACAGAACAATTGAGATTTGTATAAAATCGCTGGCAATCCATTCTGAATAAATGGATCAACGGCAACATGCAAACAGTCTTCATTACAAATTATAAAGTCTTGGTAAAGTGCATAAGAAAACAAAAATGCAAATTTGCATTTTTTTGCTAATAACATTAGAACTATATCCGATGCTATTGCATGGATTGTGGTTGCGTTTTAGTCCGAATACATTGTCTATTGATGCTATATACAAGGTGAAATACAGGGCGTGCATTTCTCTCTAAAACCTTTAACAGAGAAACAGGGTAGAAAAACAAAGGAGGGAAAGAGGAAAAGATCATGGAACTTACAAGTATCTGCGAGATTAAAGCCGGCAATCCTATGCGCTTGAGCGCGAAATTGAAAGCTTGAGTGATAAAGAATATCACTGCAATCTGCAACTGGATATTCGGCATTGAATAACCCAGTATATCATTATCTTCATCTCCTTCTGATGTGAAGGATCTTGTTAGTCCCAAAGAATTTATTTTTGGGGGCAGCGAGAAACAAGTATACCTTTGTTGAAATGATCCTTCTTTATTCTTAAAAAAGTTCCACTTCTTTAGGCTTTCCATATTGCAACAAGTTTTCTTGTCACGACCAAGGCTGACTGCTTTTCTTTTTTCTTTTTCCTTAGGATCAGAGAAAAGAGAAATAAGAGACGGTAAGAAATGAGAAATGGGAAGAGAAGGCAGAGAAAGAGAGAATTAAATAATTTGGATTGGACTCGACAACCATCAAATTAAAGGAAAAATGGCAAGTTCCATGTGTAATTGAAACTCCATGTCCAATTTAATTTCTAACCTTTGACCACAAGCCTAAATATCCAATTCAACAACATAATCAATAAAGTGGAGCGATAATTTAGCATTAGAAAGACATGACTAAGATAACAACAAAAAAAAACATGGAGCACTGCATCACAAACTGAGAGGTTGCAGAAAAACATAAGAGTATGTACAAAAAAAACATAACCTACCAAGTTTCAACGCTCTTGAAACTTATTAGATTATACTTATTGGTAGTAATCGAATAGGCTAATATATAGATTCTTAAATTTTTGTCATGCATCCAGAGAAAGATTGATATGTCTGGTGTAACTATTTGCAAGTATTTTTGGTCATCATCTAATGTGAGTTTTCACTTATATTTATTATATGATTAAGCTTCCATACAATCTTTGTCTTTTCTGGTATATATATAGGTTTTTTAATCTTGTAATTTTTAATTTGAACTTATTATTTTAATTCCATATTGGTTCAGGACATTTGAATTATTCATTTAAGATTATTATGTTTTGCTCGGACCGATTGCTAAATTCATCCGAAAGTTTCTAACTGATTTTAAATTAATTAAAATAGTTATTTTATTCAAGAAAAAAAAATCCTTACTAAAAATAATAACACATGTAAGATCATTAATTAAACCTATTTATATTGGAGTACGGAAATTAGGCAGTCTTACATATCACTATCCAAACATCTTTTATTTCTTTTGCACAGAGTCACCTTAAAACAATACGGCAATAATATATGCGTAAATTTTGGGAACTAGTCATGAAATTTGAAGTAGTTCTGAAGACATCCAAGCTGGCCATACTGGTTCTTTTCTATTTTCTTAGAGTTAGTTAGAATTGACGAACTTACACAAACATTGTATCCAGTTTGTTTGCAGGACTTGCTGTTTCTGTCTTAACATAAAAACTTAAAATATTAGGTGTTAAAAAATAACCAACTCTTTGTGGGTTTTAAGGTAACAATAATTTGTTAACTTAAGACACATTGGGGGTGTTATGAGTTGGGAGTTAGGCCCTTAATCTATCTGTCAATGGAAAAAAGTGCTAAATGAAGATTTCAAGATCGAACTGAAGCTTTCCATTCCTTCCGAGCCATTTCTTTCTCCGAAAGAGGGGAGAAACTCTCTGTTCGTTACCAAGATGTCATCCACAGCTTGACCTTACATAATCTAAGATTCTCAACAACTTCTCGGCTACTTTGACTTCAAAAGTAATCAGTGGGCTTTGAAGCTGTCCTTTTTAGATAAAATGAAGAAAAAAAAATACTCTCTAAATTTAAGAAAGCATTTAATTCTTTTTTTAACCAAAATTTTCTTAGCTAGAACTTGTTGAAATACCAGAAATAAAATCAACTGTGAAAACTGCTCAGCCCATATCCCACAATTTCTGGTTTAATTAATTTATTTATTTTTGGGAGTGACATTGATTCAATTTTTTTTTATGTTTCGAATATTGTTGAATTAATGCTTATAAACCTCAAAAATTGTTGTTTTTTTTTTTTTTTTTTTTTTTTTTGCCCCGTTATGGACCGTCCAATTACATGACTAATCAGTTCCTTCGATCAGCTACTGAAATAATAATAATAATAATAATAAAATCATGGGTTGGAGTCTTTGGGAGGACAGTAGAATATTTACATAAAATAAAATAACCTCGCGCTCTTGATGTAGCGATTTGGTCCCATGGAAAAATTACCATGAGGGATTGTTGGCTGTTCTTGGATAATTTGGATTGGAAGTGGCCTTACAGGTTTTAATATGTGCCAGATGCAGTGTCATACCCCAAAATTTTACCAATTTTTTTCTTTTATTTTAGTTTGGGCTTTTGATCTAAATTGTTTTGAAATGAGGATTGGGTTTTGTTCTTGGGTTTGTTTTTTTAAGTGGTGTGGGTGTTAGTGGACTGAACTGAAATTCCAACCCAGTCCAAAAATGAAAAAAAATAAAAATTTTGGAAAAAAATAATAATAAAATAAAAAATATGGGTCTTAGTTTTAAAATTTACTTTTTTATGCATGTTTTTTATTTCATATTTAATTTAGATATTGAATTTTTTAATTATTTTAATTTTAAGTTTATCTTATGTATATATATTGTTTTATATTAATTTAAAAATTTAATATTTTAATTGGCTGTAATTATTTTGATGTAATTTTAACTTTGAATTTATTTTATGCATTTTTGTTATTAATTTAAAGTTTAGTATTAGAATTTTTCTTTTAATTAGTGTAGCTTTTAATTTATTTGTTTAATAATTAGGCTCGGTAAATAGTAGGTGGAGGATTGTCAAATCTCTTAATTATTTAGGAACCGATGACGGTTTTTCCATCAATAAAAATAAAATAAAAAAAATGAAAGAAAATAATGAAAAAAAAAGAATATTCATAAAACTTTTAACAAAATCTCCTATTTGAGGATTATTGTTAGCCAAAAAAATCATTTTTATTAAACAAGTGTTCTCCGACACACCGGTTGTGTCGATACTCAAAAAGTGAATTCGATATTTGAATCGACATATCTTTCGACGAAGGGCTACGATGATGGTTTCAATACGATGTCACACTCAAAAATAAAAAATTTAATTTGGCTTGAAATAAACGACTTGAAAAATTGAAGTTTTAAAATTTAAAAATAATTTGATAAAAATAAAACACTTTAAGAGGTAATTTTAGGATTAAACTAAACACGTCATTTTTTTTAGGAAATTGAGTTTCTAGCCCCTTAAAATAAAATAAAATCATAAAGAAATTATTGTTTTTTTTTTTTTTTTTTTTTTTTTTTTTTTTGAGTCCTATCTGACGTAGCGACATGCAGTGTAAAGGGGCGACTTGTGATTCAACAGAGAAGTACTGATTGAAGCAGGATTTAGGGGGAAAAAAATGAACAGCAAAGATTGAGAGTGTTGCAACTTGCAACTGCTATTCTTGGGCTAGGAGTCAAGAGATGCGTCGAACACTGTGTGGATTAATGTTGTTGTTTGAATACTATTTGCTGGAGTTGCATGGGAGGTGCTTGTGCTTTATCGAGGTCTTGGTTGAGAGAAAAGTGGTTGAAGCTAAACCATGAAAGGGGTCTCAGGTCTCAGGTCTCAGGTCTTATCTCTGAGTTGTGTTATGTTATCTTCTTTCTTAATCATAAGCTGGAGTTTTATTTTTGGTTCAAACGATGAGCTGGGATTTGAATTGGCATTCCTTCCGGAATCCAGAATTAGCCATATGTTCTTGCTGAAAATGAGGCCTTTTCTATTTTGGACACCAAAAAATAGAATTCTTGTTCGCTGCATAAATACTTCTTTTTCCTCCTAGTTTTAGTTTAAGATCGTAAATAAAGGCAAACACACGGGTAACACCTTTTTTATTTTCTTGGATTCAAGGGAGCTTCTATGCTGCCTTAGAGAAACATCCAAAAGCACAGCCATTTGCATTAATCGAAAGTTTCAGTGCTCAACAGGACCTGGTCAATACTTAACCGGCAGGATCGAGAACCGATTAAGCTGTTTCGGAAATTTCAGAATACTGTAAACCTGTTTGGAAAAACTTTATATGCAAAGCAGAGCCAATGTCTTTGAACTTAATTTTTCTGAAGTCATAGCACCATTTCAAAGCCGGGTTTCATCACAAAGAATAATTAACCTCCTATCACTACGTGCAAAAAATTTGATTCCAACTACAAATGAATCTATGAAGTTACATCGAAACCTAATATACAAATACTTGTCTAGAACTAAATTGAACAAAAGGTTTTAAACACCACTACCTCAATTATAAGATATGCACTAGCTATTTGGCTTTTACTTGGCCGCTTGTTGTTGCTGTTGCACTTCTTCTTGTTCTCGTACCTGCTGCACAACAAATAAGGAACACTCTGCCATGGTGTCTTCTGATATGATGAGGTCTCCGATTAGCCCCAGCTCCGGATACTCACACCATTGTTTTAGACCAGATGTCTGTGGGGTAATGTCATCCAAGTTGTATCTTCGTCCCACGATTATAAGCTCGTATTCATGCACCATAGATTTAATAATTGAAAAAGTTGTTGTTGCTCCATCTACCACCTCTTTTATATACGTGATGTACTCCTTTTCCTTCGCTTCCTTTAAAGCCACGTTATCTTGTTTTGCTTCAAATTCGTTCAAGTCACGGATAACTCGGCCTTCATCGATTGTCGCAATGAGATGTAGCACACACAACTTAACCCTGGTGTCTTGTGCCATGCGAATAGCAAAAGTTAAGGCCTCTCTATCGTCATTACCTCCCAAGAAGATCATAGCAACTTTAATTATTGTCGGTGCATCATCTTTGTAGACTAGCCACCGATTACTGTATCTATCAACTAGAATCCCCACAGAGCAAGGTGCTTTTTCAAGGACCTTGTTATTCAACTCCCTTAGGTTGTGGTCCTCTGATTGAATCGAACCATCTTGTTTCCACCATCTAATGTGAAATGGAAGTATTATAAGAGATGCGAGCTTCTCTACTGCCAGTGTGAAAATATCATCACACATGAATGTCGGTGGAGAGACTGCTGTGACTGCATTCACTGATACCAATCCACTATTGTTTTGCTCAAATTCGTTGAACAAACGAATGACATTCACCGAATGTAAATAATCACAAACTATCACCCTCTCCTTTCGGTGGGAAATGAAGAGTGGAGTGGATTGCCCGACGAGCTTGATGTGGTGAAGCACTGTAACCGCAATGGGGCAATCTCCACTGCACGAGGGATCAAGAAGATTTATTACCGCATTCACGTCTCCGGGTGCGTGGATACAAGAAATAATTTGCAGCTCTGAATTAGGCCCGGAGTCTATGAGGTTCCTTTTTAGGCATCCTCTATATCTCTTTGTAGGATTGTATAGCCTTCTCACAAGAATTGGTACAAAGCTGCCGAAGACGATGACTGTGCCAACCATGAAAATGAATGCATCATCCATTATAGCCTGCAATTGTTGGTACAGTAATATGAAGATGGAAGATTAGTTTAAGTCTTCTTGAAAGATTGAAGAAAAAGAAGGCAGATAAATGCGAAAGAGTACATGAAAGTAGAACATGGATTGGTTATTAGTAGTTACCTCGGTATCATCCAAGAAAGTGTACAAGGCCAACTCAACGACACCTTTCGCACACATTATGAAAGCAAAGGCAGCACTATGTTTTGCTCGTGATTCCCAAAAGAATGAATGCCCAACATAACATACCAAGAATTTGGCCAAGGAAATTACACCAAGAGAAATTGCAGCTATGTTTAGCTGGATCTTGTCAAATTTAGTGTTTGCAAAATCCACCCTCATGCCACATGTTGTGACAAAAATTGTAAGGATGTAACCAGTAATTGCTTCGAACTTCTCCAATACAGCAGACCCCAGTGGCGGTCCAGATGGAACAGCTAGACCAACAATAAAGGGCCCGTAAAAAACAGCCAATCCAAAAAAATGTGAAAGCAACACAGACCCCAGGAACAGTGAAATGATGAAGTAAACGTACAATTCCTTCAGGCTATCACTTATCTTTCTTGCCAGAAGATTCAATGCTGGCCTAAGAACCAATGCAACTGTAACAATGAAAACAAACATCGCTATTAGAGCATCTCCGATTTCGTTGGGCTCTTGGTCTGCTGTCCTCAGCAAAGATGAAATAATAAGCAGCAGAAGACCAACAAGGTCACTGACCAGCGCTGTTGACAGTCCTAATCGGCCAAGTTCTGAGTTTAGAAGTTTTAGGTCATTGAGAAGGCTAACTATTACAGGAAATGAAGACATAGAATACGTTGTTGCAGTAAAGAAATTGATTAAATACTCTTGCTCTGTCATAATTGTTAAGGTTGCCACACCAAGTAGAAGTGGCAATAATACACACAAAGCACCAACAAATAAGACCTTTCCTTCTACAGTTTTTAACATCTCCAAATCCATTTTTACTCCACTTTGAAACATAAACAACTGGTAGCCCATTGTTGCTGCTGTAACAAGATTTCCTGCGCCTAACTTTGAAAATAGAGCATTTGAAACTCCTTTAGGAAGTACTGCTGGATTGAAAATTAGGCCTGCCTGTATTAACGAAAAAGCATCACAGCATGTTATTAAGTAGAACACGATGAATAACAAAGACGGAAAATGAGTACATGAAAATGAATTAAGACAATAGAGAAACTCACAAAAATCTGTGAGATTAGCGATGGCAGTCCTATTCTTTTGAATGCAAAACTCAAACCTTGGGTGATGATAAATACCACCAGAATGAGCACCTCCAGATTTGGCAGTGCATAATTCATTAGATCAAATTTCTTCTCGATTAAGTACTCTGCCAATCCAGGTGAATTTATCTTCGGAGGTAGCGAGAAACAAGTGACTGATTCCTGAAATTCTCCGGTTGAATTGATGATTATATTTGAAGGATTTAGGGGTTCCATAGTGCCAAAAGGTTTTTTACTCGCTTCCACACCTGGCTTATGCTTTTGCTTTCTCAGGAGAGAAAAGATAGAGATGGTGACAAACGGTAATTATGAAAAAGCAAAAAACCAACAGGAGGGTAAATCGATCAAGAATAGGAAAATTGTAGTATGGCAGGTAGATGTGCTTAAACGGGCAAAGAAGAGTCAAAGCTGGCTATACAGCCTTAATAGGAATGAAATTCAAACCAATAAGAAAGTAACAGAACATTTTACAGAACTTTAGGGGTGATTGAGCTGTCTACTTGTGGAATAGGTCATCCAAGGAAATGTTAAGGACAGCTCAAAAAACCTGTTTCCTTAAAGACAGAAAAATAACTACATTGGTATATTCATCCCGAAAATCTTACAACTTTGTATTATTATGTTGGATTATAACACAGCTCGCAACATCAAGACTTAAGAATATCCACATTACTAGTTAACAGAAAGTGAAGTAAAACTATATGCTAATTGATTGCTTGGATCAGCTCCTGGAATGCAGGTCAGGTATTCAAAGGTTTACGTTAGTTGAGAAGAATTCTAACGGTCCCAGCCCCCAGAATAGGAAATAATTTGACCAAATTTATCCTACGTTCTTTCTTTTCTTTTTTAAGTGCTATGGGTTGGTTGAATAAGGATTCCACATTAAAATTAGTAAAAGAAGTGCTGAAAGGGCAATTGCTGGCTGTATCAGTACATCATTCCCAACGGGTTATTGGGTAACAAAAATTGAATGGAAAAAATCAAGAAAAAAAAAATCAAGTTGATGATATGATGGCAACAAGAGGTTACAGGAATACATATTGCAGTGCTGATGTGTTATTAATCACGTGGAATGCGTAAAGATGGAAATGATGGGAAAAGCTGTTATGAATGATAGAGCTCTAAATTAGAGAGCTTATTACAAAGAAAATGCTCAATCACTGTGCAATGTGGGTTCATAAAAATAGTGTCGAATAGGATTTGTCAACTATAGTACACAATTAATGCAATGATCTAATAACAACGAGATCAAAATAGCACTCTAACAATCAATTGTGTTAATAAATAAACTATTCAAAACCTATTAACAAAATTACACTGCACGCGTTAACTAATTAATACAGTATTCTACTCCCAAAACTAAGTAATATTGTCAACTTTTCCTTTCTTTCAAAAGCTTCTTTTTAGAAGAAGTCAGAAGCGTGCCAGAGTTCTTAGTCTAGGGAGTAAGCTTCTTTTCAAAATAAGCCAAAAAATAATTATAATTCATCCCGATCGCAATTTGCATGTCTTTTTATCATCAATTTATCCATCAATGTCTATTATTTACTTACTGATTAAAAGCTTACAAAATTTAACAAACACTATATTTTTTAAAAACTCACATGCTTCCTAAATAAAAATATAATATCAGCTACATTATACTAAAAACTAAAATAAAACCATTGGTTTTACTATTCATTTACTATTTGAAATACTATTCATATATTCACAAATCACTATGTACACACTCACAAATTACTATGCATTTCACTATTTATGATATTTTTTTAACATTTTGATTTTCAAATTTTTTATATTTTTTTTCGATTTTAAACTTTAATTGTATTGTGATTTGGTCTCCTTTTGTTTTAATGTTTTTAGTTAATTATTTTTTTATTTAAGATTTACTACTTTAATTTGTCATTTTTTTTAAATTTGCTTTTTTTTTTTTAATTTCAAACTTTAATTATATTGTGATTTGATC